CATACAGGGAAAAACAAACCCACCCGTCTACACTGGATGCCAGAGGCAGGCTGGCGCGCCCTGACTCGGTGCTGGGCCGGCAGTGAGCCGGGCACACCGGTGAGGCCCGGGCACATGCATGTGAGCAGAGGCAAGATGCAGGAGCAGAGCTGGAAGTCCTGGGCACACACGTGCCGGGCGTGGGGAGGGGGCAGCCGCCCAGGGATGGAGCAGAGCCCAGCATGCTGGTGGAGGATGAGGGCATTCGAGGGGGGCGCCTGGACAGAGGCCAGATGGAGGCGGGGAGGGCAGGGGCCCACTGTGGCAAAGGGCAGAGCCCAGGGTCCCCCAGGGTGGCAGCGGGCAGGACTCCCCCAGTGAGTGCTTCCGGCCTGGGCGAGGTCCTCCCGACTGCCAAGCATGTGCCCCACCCGCCCGGTCCCACTCACCTGACTTGCTCCAGATAATTGTCGGGGTGTTTTATTTTTTTCCCTGTGAACCTCACAGAGGGACAAAGGCAGGTTCTGAGTCACCAGGAACCGGCCCCCACTTCCACCCACGCTGGAGCCTCGTCCTTGCCCCCACCCTCCTCGAGGACCTTAGGGACCCTTTGGCAGTGGGGGCCTGGCCCAGGGTGACCACAGGGAGCCCCAGACCCTCGCTGGCTCTTCTAGGTGTCCCCCCCCCCCCCCCCCCCCCCCCCCCTGAACTCCAGTCACATTCANCCCCCCCCCGACTCCAGGGGCGCATGACCTCCCTGGGGGGCCTAATGGAGAGGCCTCCTCTCCCTGGCGCATTTGCAATTCATGGCTCCAGCCCAGACTGCATTAGGGCCTGGCTGTCACTCGTGATGAATGTCGCTTGTTTTCCAGAAAAAAACGGACCCTGGATGCGGAGTGACAGAGCCGAGGGAGGCACCCGGCCCTTCCCTGGCCTGATCACCAGGGCACGGCCGGGGTCCATGTGCACTGACATTGTCAGCGGCCTGACAGTGGCCTTGGGAACTTGACTCCTCCTCGGGTCTCTCAGGGGCTCCGCATCCTGTTCAACAAGCCCTTCGCAGTCTCTGCCCCCACAGGGCTCTCCCGACAGCCTGCTACAGAGACTCCACTCCCGTGGTCCCATTTGGCAGATGGGCAAACTGAGGTTTTCAGGAAGAGGGAAGGTCCCTGAAAGCGTGTAGGCTGGAGGTGAATTGGAGGGTGGCCAGGGGTTCACAGGCTCAGGGGCCTTCCCGAGAGAGAATGCTTGGGTGCTTTGTGGGGGAGGCCGATTGAAGGGGAAATACGAATCCCCTGTAGCCTCAGCCTCCCTCCCTACTCCATCCTGGCGCAGAGATGAGGGGCCAGCCCAGGCACCCAGAGCCGCTACCTGCCCCCCATCTGCCTGGGTTCTGCCTTCTCTTTCCCTGGCAACTCCCTTCCTGTTCAAAAGAGGGGAGTCCCACACAGTGGGGGCTCTGGGCAGTGCCTGCTTCCTAGATGCTAACTTCACTGGGGGCAAAGAGAATTCACTCCTTCCGACGGACCCAATCCCTGACCCTCAGCCAGGTCACGGGGAGCAGGGATCTGGGGTGCAGGAATTAGCTGGAGGTTGCATCCAGGGCCCCTCCCCCGTGTCTCTGCCCCTTGGCTTCTCAGAGAGCCAGCATTCCCCAGGCCTTCTGGAACAGAGAAGCCTGGGCGGGCCCCCTTGGCGACTTGTGCTGGCTCCAGAGCCCACCATGGCTCCCACGTTCCCAGTGTCCTGTATCTAATTCTGCTTCCCCTCTGCTCCTGCCCTCACCATCTGGGAGCCTCGGCCTGGCAGGGACACAGACAGAAAAAGTAATTCTATCCATGAGCATCTTGTCAGGTCCATTCATTGGAAAGAAGAACAACGGTCGCTCACCCGAGGGCCGTTTTACCGTGTGCCTGTTCGCCTCTGCGATTTCACACAATTTAGCCAGAAGTAGCTGAAACAGGCAGTACTGATCCCCGTGTCACAGACGACAAAACCCGGGGCGGAGTCCTCCCGGCAAGAGCCGGAGGCTCGTCTTGGGCCGTGAGTGCTTCTTGTTTGCCCGTGTACCCCTGTCCCTGGCTCCGTGCCTGGATTGTAGTAGGTATTGGCTGAAAGAGTGAGTGAAGGAATGAATGAATGCCCTCGACAGGAGTGTGTGGAAGCTGTGAGCTGCCAGAGGGGCTGAGCCACAGGGCCAGGCAGTCAGGTCCTGATGCCCCGTCTCCTGACCCCACTCCCCGCCAGGGATCTAGTTCTGGGGATGGGCCACCTGCTGACACAGCCTTGTGGGGTTCCCCGTGGAAAAGCCAGCAGGTGCCGTGGAAGCCTGGCTCTCACCCAATCAGAGCCCTGGTTCTTTGGCACTCAGGCCCCACAGCCCCAAACCCACCCAACAGGGTCTAGGGCAGTGCAGAGCAAAAGAAAAAAAAGTTACTTTCTCCGGGCATCTGGAGCCCAAGTCTGACCCCAGATAATGCCGTTATAACAGGTGCTGCTGTAGCCATGTGCCTTGCTAACGAGCACTTCCCATGACAAGCCGCCCAGGTAGGTGCTCTCTCTCTCCCCCCCTTTCACAGATGTGGAAGACGACTCAGAGACTGAGGGGTATGTGTGTTGGGACCAGAGTCCATGCATCTGACCACACCCCCAGGGGTGACACAGATCCTCCTGACTGTCCGTCCTTTCTGGGCTCGTGAAGCAGCAAAGTGTCACATCTCTTGTGCCCTCCCCTCCCCAGGGAGAGCTCCTGACCTAGTGTTTTTGTCCAACGGGGACGTCTCCGCTTCTGCCAGCTGCCTGCCCTGTCTGTTCGAGGGGGCCTCAGGGACACCACTGTCCTAGGGCTTCCCTCACCATCAGTCCAATACTTAGGGTGTCCATGGCAACAAGCCCAGAGGTCTGGCCTTGGGTCCCCCCCAGCGACCCTCCCCTGGCCTCAGAGTCCAGGGATCAGCTAGGTTTCCAGAATCCAGATGTGTCAAGGCCCTGGCCCTTTCCCCGTATGGGCACATGTTGTTCCTGTCTCCCTGGGCCGCAGATGGCTCCGAGTTCTGGAACATCCCAGAGGCCAAAGCCCAGCATCACCGTCACATCCCAGCCGCACCTTCCCAGAGAAGCACAGAGCTCTTGCAAGAAGAACATTGGTTCTAGAGCGAGCTGGCTCTGGGTTCCCATCCTGCTATTATCCCAGCCATGCGACCTTGGATAAATTGCTTTATCACCACTGACTCCGGCTTTCTCATCTATAAAATGGGCATGACCGTGCCTTACGTTGAACAGCAATAGTGGGGCTCACGCAAGCTGTGTGCAAGCACGCAGCACACAGTAGGAGCTTTGATAAGTGGGGTAAATGATACCCCAGCTAGACCGGGTAGACCGGCTGGGCGGTCGGGCGCTCTGAGCCAGTGGGCATCATCCCTCCAGGTCTCTGGGTCCTGTCTATTCCTGTCACCCATCGAGGCTGCTGTGCCACTTCTGTAGCCACCTGTCAACGCCAGCTGCCGCCTGCACCCATGAGGGCACCAAGCAAGGCCCCAGCTGCCCCAGGGGCCCGCCACACCCTGCCCTCCCAGCCGACTGCTCCAGCCAGCCTTCAGGTCCCCAGAGGAGGGGACTCCGGCAGCTCCCCCCGCTCCCAAGGGCACCCCTTCATCCTCACCCTAGGGCCTCCCACACCCCCAGGGGCTCCTCATGAAAGCCCAGGGCCCGGGGACCAGCGCGGAAGCCCCTCCGCTCCCACAGCGCAGCCCCCCCCCCACCCCCTCCGCCAGGCTCTTACCACATCCTGCCGCAGCCCTGCGTCTATTTCATCAAGCCAAGGAGTGCTTTTTAAATAAATCTAAAAAACTCCACTTCCTCCTTGGCAAGTTCATTTTAAGTCATTTTATCTCTTTCCCCCCTATATTTTTCCCAAATAATGTGATTAAGTGACTCAGCGCCGGCTGCCTCTGGCAGGCCTGGCCTCTAATTCAGTTTGAGGACGGCCACCTTTGACCCCACTCCACTCTGGTTAAGAGAACACTTAAGCGCCATTCTACCGCTTCCTACAGAGAGAGGCTGGGGGGGGGGGCGGTGAGGGGTGGGGGGCGGCGGGTGGGGGGGAAGCGAAACAAACTTTCACATAAAATTATGGCATATAGATAATTGAGAAGTTTAAAAACATGAATCTAATTGTACAGTCCCCGGAGAAGCCCATATCGAGCCACCCTATAAGAGGCCTGGAACCTCCCGATGATGATTTATTGCTAAATCCTAGTATTTTTCAATACATTATAGTTTTTAAATTGTGTTTAAATTGAGTGTAGAGGAGCAGAGGCCATTAGGAGATGCAGAAATGATGATTATATTTAAATATTCATGCACGCAGTACCTTATTATTGAATCTGAACACTAACAAAATCAATATTAAGTGCGGTTTGACATGAATTTATTTATGAATTTCGACTTTCTAAGTACTGTATTTTTTCACTCAAAAATTGTGAGTATAATGTAGTAATGATATCAAAACACAGTGTCAGAGAGCATTAGCTGGGGAGGTTATAAACCTCAGGATTAGGGGGCCCCAGATTGCCCTCAAAAGTGCTTAGTACACAAAACCCAATTCTTTTTTTTTTTTTTCCTCCTTCCCTGTTTCTGAATCGTGCAAATCCACATATACTCCGGGGGGAGGGCGAGCGGGGAGGGCGGGGAGGAAGGGAGGCTCAGCTGAAGTGGCGGGTAGAACGCGGGCACTCAGCTCAGCCGAAGCTGGGGTGGCAGGGGTCCGTGGCTCTCTGCCAGGTCCTCCCTCAGCTTGACACCCAGGAAGCGGCCCCCCCGGCTGGTGGGGGAGGGGGGGTCCTAGGGAGTCCGGGGTGGAGACGGTCTGAAGGTCTCTTTATTTCCCAGACTTCTGATTTGGGGGGCAGGGTGAACACTGGTAGATTCTAACCCCAGGAAACCAGCACATAAGGAGTTAGAGAGGCTTTGCCCCCCACATTCTGGGTCGTGCCCCCAGATGCGTCCTTGGGGCAGACAGTTTAGGCCACCGCCTCTCGCTGCCCACCAGGACCTGCCTGCTGCCCGCTGCCCCTGGCAGTGATGTTGGTGAAGATGTTGAGTGTGAGGACCGTCACCCACCCAGGGTCCCCGCTCCTCCCCGCCATCCACAGCTCCTCCTTCGAGTGGCCTGGGGCCCTTCCTGCTGCCCCTACACCACCGCTGCCCAGGAGGCCACCTGCAGCTGGGGGAGGGGGGGGTACCTGTCCCAACTGCAGAGGCTTGATGTCCACCTGCTGGCTTAGCCCCTGAGCCTGGCACAGCCATGCCAGCTGGTGGTGGCCCTTATACCCACGGAACCGCTTGACTGACTCGTTCCCATACGCCCGTACCCACAGAGCCCTGTGTAGACACACACACGCACACACACACTCACACACTCACATGCACACATGCTACATGAGAAGGAAGGAGTGGCCAGCTAGGGCGAGACCCCGTTTTCCAGATGCAGAATGACTCCCGATGTGTGGTCTCTTTGGACACAGGCAATACCCATTCCCCACAGGGAGAGAACCACATACAGCTACTGTCCCTGACTTCAGCTGGCACCGGTCAGCCCACCCCGCACCGTCCCCACACACCCGACTGGGACACTCGGTGACCCCAGTGTCCCCCAAGTAGGCTCCTGCCCCCACACCCGTTAACCCGCAGACACCCCAGGGCCCAACGCTCACCACATGCCGCCCTCAGGGCCCCCCAACAGTGTAACACACAGATGCACCCCTCGACACTCACGAGCCCCCGCCCTCCCACGCAGAAACGTTCACATGGGTGAAGCACACACACTCAAGCACACAGTCAGTCCACAATCATCCTTACACACAGCCCCACACACCCCAACACCCGGACGCCCCGACAGACACAGACACACCCCCACTCCCCAACACCCAGGATGCTTACACATGCACACCCCCTGCCCCGAGGCTGGCTGGGGGCCAGGAGAGCGGCACAGCTGTCCGGCTGTCCGACAGCGGGGGACGCAACCTGGGGCCCAGGTCAAAAAGCACTTAGAAGCTTTGATTTGGAATATTCATCAGCCTTTGGGGGGGAAAGAAAGAAGCCCACACAAAGGGGAGGGGGAGAAAGAAAACTCAACCCCGACCCTAAACTCTTTTCCAGTAAATCGATGTATTTTGCTATAATTTTATTAGGAATATAAAAGGAGCCTTTTCAAAAGTGCTTAGGACGCAAAAAAAAGAGGCGGGCGATGGAAACATTAGTCTGTCTGTATTAGCAATCCCATAGTCACATTTTATTGTTACTGTCAGGATGCAAAAGCTGTGCTTAAAACAAAATAATACATAATGTATTACTGAGGCATAAACATCAGTGAGCCGCGAGCGGCCGGCGTTTTTATTTTAAAAAGGAGATGCAAGGGGGAAAAAACGATTGAGGGACACAAGGTGGGGGAGGGGTGCCGGCAGCCTCTGGGGGTCAGCCGGTCCCCGAGAACTGGGGTGGGGGCAGACCCCCCAGTGATGATTTTGACCACATTGTCATCTTCGTATCGGCTCCTCCCAGGAAAAAAAAATCTGTCTCCCAAAGTAGCGCCAGGCTCAGGGACCTCCTACTTCCTAGCTTCACCCTCAGCACCCTATGGTTCATAAAGCTCTGGCCCTTTGTCCCGCCCCAGCCCTGGCCCTGACCTTCACCGCATCCCGGTGAACTTGGGGGGGGAGGCAGCTGTTGTCTCCATCTTGCAGGTAAAGACATTGAAGCTCAAAGGGGGACAGTGATTGACTCTGGTCACCCAACCAGGGAGCGATGCGGTCAGGCCCAGAATCCAGGGCAGAGGCCCAGAGTTCTGGTTCAGTGTCCTTCCCACTGTATCCAACTGGCTAGTCTCCAGACGGGGCCCCTGGGTCCCTGGGCTGGGCTCTCTGCCCCACCCTTACCCCTGCAATCCGTTCTCCAACATCAACCAGTGTGATCTTCCAAAACGCAAACCACATCTTGTCTAATAGTCTCCAAGTACATTCCATGCCACCCAAGGAACATTGTGCACCCCAGGGGGCCCCTCCTCTCCCCCCCATCCCCTTGCTCACCCTGCAGCAGAACCACTGATTCTTGCTCCTTTCCTCCAGCCCCTAAGCTCCTGCCTTAGAGTCTCGGTTCCTGCTCTTCCACCTGCCTGAAGTCTTTTCTGGCCCTTTCCATCAAATACTGCCTCCTCCAAGACGTCCTCCCGGGTTGCCCAATCTAAATGAGACTCTCCGTTACTTTTTGTCTTCTGTCTCTGTTTCACATTTACTTGTTTATTGCCTCAAACTAGAGCATAAGACCCGAGGAGGCAAGGATCTTATTGGCTTTGGTCACTGCAGTGTCCTCAGTATCTGCCACTATCCATGCATAGATGGAAGGATGGATGGATGGATGGACGCTGCCACTTGGCTGCCATCGTGGGCCAAGGCTAGAGCACATCAGAGCCCCAGGCACATCTGGCCTGTGGCCCATCCTGCTCTGTTCCCCCAAAGCCCCCCAGGCAGGCCCAGCTTCCCACATTTGGGAGCCCCATAACCCCACCAGAGCCAGGGCCCCCGGTCTTGGCCTGACCCATTGCAGCCTCTGCACAGTCACCGATAGGGCTTCTGAATTTCAGCACCATATGGACCAGCACTGCCTGTAACATCTGGGATGACTCCTCCTCCATCCTGCGCCCACCCCCCAAGTTCCTCCCAGCTGTTCTTGGCCCCCTAGGGGAGCTGGGCCAGGCTCCCCACCTCGGTTTCCCTTCCAAGGCCTGACCGCCTCCTAGCCCTTGGGTGGGACAGCTGCTGGGGGATCAGGGAGGAGCTCCCCACCCTCCATCCTGCTGCGAGGCCCTCGCTTCCCCCTCCACACTTGCCCCTGACCCCTGAGCCAACCTCCCCCCCATTGTAGACTTCCTCAGAGCCTCGGGCCTGCTCTGCGACCCCATGGTTCACGCAGGAGGACACTGGCCCTTATGAGACAGCTTTAAGGAAACAACGGTGAAGAACAAGAACCTGGCTCTGCTTCTTATTGGCTATGTGACTCGGACCCATTGCTTTAACCTCTCTGCACCTTGGTTTCCTCATCTGTAAAATGGGGCAAGGATGGTATCTACCTCCTCAGGCCTTTGCGAGGCTTGTGGGGGAAATGCGAGGCGACGTACGGAAACCCATTGGCCCAGAGCTCGGCATTTAGGGGCTGATCCACCATTCAAGGGCAGGATGCCCGGCCAGTGTCAGAATGGGTGATTCTAGGACCAACCTCCACGGTCCCGCCCCTGAGCCCTGGGGGCGGGGGGGGGGGGGGGGGGGGGGGGGGAGGGCAGCTCCCCACTGTTAGAGCACTTGGCACTTGGTGCCACCTAGTGGTAGGCGGGGGCACGGGGGGCCTGGCCGGGCTGGTGGGGCCGTGGGGCAGGATGGAGTCGAGAGAAGCAGCCGGGAGCAGGGGTCTACCACCTCTCTGGGCGCTGCCTGGGACCCGTGTGCACCCAAGAGGCCACCCCGCTCCAGGCCTGGAGGCCATTTTGGGAGAAAGAACAGGAAGGGCCGCCTCAGGACACCCAGTCCCCGGCTCAGGAGTCCCGGGCCAGGCCCACCAGCCACAGCTCAGATGTCTGCACTCCCACCGAGAGACACCCCAGGAGAGGAACGAAGGAGCCAAGAATGTCATCTCCAGCCTGCAAGTGGCCGCAGCCCCCTGCCTCCGCCCCGACCCGCCACCGCCCTCAGGGCCCGGAACGGCAGTCTGTCCTGCATGTCCAGCTGGAAGACCCTGTTCATTTATACACTGTGCAGCACACACCTGTTGAGCCCCTACTATGTGTCAGGACCCTGGGAACGCAGAGGAGACAAGACAGACACTTGGTTGTAAGTCTGTGGGGCTTACATTGCTGGGGGGGCAGAGAGGCAGATGGGGAGAGGAGGGGGCAGACCAGCAAATAGCTAAATTCACAGTGTGTTTAAATGGGCATAGATGGTTGAAGTGCTGGGGACCCTGGGTGGGGGGTGGGGTGGGGGGATGCCAAGCAGGGGAGTTGGCCATGGAGGACACCAAGGGCCACACCATGATCTCAGCATCACCTGGTGAGGAAGGCCTGGGGCAGTCGCCAAGCTGCCTGCCTCTAACCCAGCTGTGTGACTTTGGGTGAGCTACTTAACCTCTCTGAGCCCTCTGAGTTTCATCGCTGCTGAAATGAGGAACATAGGAGCTACTACCTCACTACCTGACAGGAGGGTGTGTCATCAGGACTGAATGAGCCTCAGAACATTCTGAATGTGGCTTTTAGAGCAGCCTCAGCTCTGAGACCCTCTGCTTCTGAAGACCCTGCCCCACCTTTTTCATTTCACACACACACACACACACACACACACACACACACGGCAGAGGAATAGCAGGGGCCGTGGATCTGCCACACATCTGTGTAGACACACCCAGGCGGCCTCAGGAGTCAGCACTGAGCCTGGACAGGTGTGCAAGGCCCTGAGCGTGCGAGGCCGTGTGCATCTAGGGATGCCAGCCCAGGAAGTGTGTGGTAAGCACACACATGTGAGCCTGTGGCCGTGACTGTGAGTACCTGCGTGTCTACAGGGCTGAGGGTCTGTCCTCCCTTGAGGTCAGGGTGGCGGCAGGCAGGACTGTGCCCGTGGGTGGGCAGGGCCCTGGTGGGGCCGTCGTTACCGCCGACGACCAGTCACTGGGGGAGAGACGGCACTCGCTACTCCTCTCCGCCCATCCCCAGCCTGGCAGGGTGAGGCCGGGCTTCTGCCCGCCGGAGCTGCGGGTGAGGACAGCTTCATGCCCACCCATGGGGCAGGCTCACTGCCTCACCCTGGTGCCCACTCTGGGATCCCCTCACCTGCAGGGCTCAGCCCCTGGGGTTGGGGTATCTGCCTTAACCTGGGTGGGCAGCAGAGCCCAGAGAGGCCGTACTCCCCCGCCATCACGGTCAAGGGCGCTGCTGAGGCTAGTTCTTCGTGGGTGCTATCGGCCGTCACAGCTCTGGGCCCCGCCCTGCATGGAAGTTCCCAGGGACAGGAGACCACAAGGTCTCTGGCACCAGGTGGACTTGGGTTCGAATTTCCAGCCCCACCTCTTTATGGCTGTGTGGCCTTGGACAAGCCATGTCACCTCTCTGAGCCTCATTCCCTCTCGTATGAAACAGCAATAAAGATATTCACCCCTGCAGGATCCTGGGGGTGGGGGGGGAATGGA